TGCTTCTGTGTTTGTAACAGAGCGGTTTGCTGTTAAATTCTATGGCTGATAATTTACTTTAATTGGCAAATTTAGTTGTAGGTTAAGGATAACGGTATTCAAACTGGGTATATATGAACTGGATTACACGGAATTTCACTAGAAGCAGACAAATCATTCATATGTTGAAAGTAGCGAATACTGTAATATGTTAAGAATGCATTTAAAGTTTAAATATATACGTTTATTACATTGTGACAAACCCTGTGGTTCGGGAAGTTTCCTTTTGGTATCGAACCTGAAGGTTCTTTACTGTAACAACAGCCGAATAATGGATCTTTTTCTGAGCCACTTCAATTTACATCTCTACGACCGATATAAGCTATGTGTTCTTTATTCTGCTTCTAAGATATTAGGAACTATCAGGCTATAGTTTAGTCGATACATTGTCGGGATATGGACTTATCGGCCGGTGTCCGTTACCTGTCAGAGGCGTTAAAATTTTACTGCCTCGTCCAGGATACACCGGGGTCCTCCCATCCACATTTCCAGTGGCTACTGGAGACTCTTACCCCAGGCAGAAAGTTGTCACAAGGATGGAACTAACCACACGTATCTGTCTAAAACTGAGTTTAAGAATTTAATGTTTTGCCTGCTCGTCTTTACGCATTTGTATTTAGGTATGGACAGAAATTAATAACATCTTAAAGATTATATTACAGCAGTTGTTGACTGAATTAGCGCTACAAGTTCCAATTGGCAGCGCTTGGTATTAGGAAGGATAGCGTCCCTTTAGTCTCATAATGGATTACGATGTGACATTTGACCTCTTACTCAGTGACCTCCTGTAAGTATCTGGCTTTACAACATCCTCGTCTCTTGCCAGTTGAGTTTCGTCCAATGCTGGGAATATCCAAAGCGTATTCTGACCCACAGTTCAGCGATTTGTAACTGGCATGATAACAATTTCTGTTGCCGATATTGATTAAGATTAATAGATAACAGTAAACATATTAGATAATCGAAAAAGAAGTCGATATTTCTGAACGAGATTTTTCAATCATAAACGCGGAGAGGATAACGGTCTAAATGCAAATTAAAATTTCTTAGCAGTTATATCAAAATCCGAAGTACAAGTTTCCAAAGTGAATAGTAGTAGATTGTAGCTTTTATGCGAAATATTTTCAGATTCTTTTTAATCTGGAGCCCAGCTGAGGTGGAATAAGCCCCCCTGTTGCCTCTGTCAATACACGCACCGACAGAGGGTTGGGGCCCAACTCCCCGCGGATGGAACGCTTCCCACACGACTACTTTAATTTTCTGTCTTCGACGTACGCTCTGGAGAGTTGTTTCCTCTACCCTTTGCTAAACAAGAATTATCTGATCTCCGATATAGGCTGGCTGACGCAGTTTTTGGATTAAACAATAGTATGCCTTTTTATAAATATTTCGGTAGATAAATTAATTTTACACCATACAATTGAGCAATATCTTTAGTGACCGTGATATTCCTGAATTGTTATGTTACATAAACCCGTAACTTTTTAAAACACAGTGATAGTTTTTATTTGTACTGCCTATTTTAATGTTCAGTAACTCTGTATTTTGCCTACAGGGTGTTTTTGAGTTTTGTATGATTCTGAGAATGAACAGCGATTAGGCGCCATCATAACAAACCTTTAGACTTTATCTTTGTTGTATTTTCTTTGAGTTAGGAACTGAGTTATTAAATATTATTTAGATGAACCTTGTGCTTCAGAGGGTAAATGAAAGGTACGATTTGGCTTAAATTGAATGTATGCGATTAAAAATTATACATGTGTTGCGTAAGAATGAATTGAATGACTTGTGTCAGAAACATCACATCAGTACATAAAAACATCTGGCAAGGAGCTGTAGTACAGTGTCCTACCTTTCTTGGCTGCCGACAGATCCGGGTCGTTGTCCGGGTCCGGAACAATGGTGCAACCTGTGACCACGTGATGTCCACCTCCAGGACTCACACTCGCCGCTGGCTGCAGCGCCGCCGTGGGGAACGGGGAACCCCCTGTCGCCGGGTACCTGTAGCAGAAGGCAGTTGGTGAGTCACTTGCTATTGTGTGTTAACTTTATTGCGAAGATACCTCCTGGAATATTCATCATGAGCTAAGAGATGAAGACTGACTTTTCGCGATTGAAACGCGAAGTAAGGTCAGGCAATTGGTCTTCGTAAAAGGATTTATAACCAGTCACAGCGACGGCGCGGTTTTAGGCACATGTGCTGCCGTCAACCGCTACAGCAATAAGATCGCGGGTTTGAGTCCATCTCGAAGCATGGATGTATGCATGCGTTGTTCTAGGCAGAAGCCTTGCGATGGGCCAGTTCCCTGTCTGGGTCGTACTAAATATTTAAGGACTCAGAACTAAGTCTGAATCAGAAAAGGCCACAAGGGGTCGTCTAATTTATGAAAGCCGAAGGAGATTTTTTATTTTTTAATTTGAGATTGTGAAATAGGGTTTGGATATGGCTACCCGGATTCTCCATTCTATAATTTATTTACAGTTGTAATTTACTAGCCTATCTTTGCCTCTAATTAATCGGTGGGGTGGAGAGTTAATTGAAAGTAACAGACAAAGAAACAACTGTCATGAAGAGATCATATTGAGAAAGACTACTAATTGTGCCAATAAATTTTCTTCTAAGATGTAGGCCTACTTGTAATTTCGTGTTTATAGAAGAAAGAAGAAAGTGGGAAATGTATGTGCGTAAGGTGGAAATACTTGTAATGGGAACCTCTCTCAGTTTATTTATTTAGTATGTTTTTATCTTGAATTGGGTGTGAAACGTGACCTCTTTACTTCGACATAAATAACAAATGTTTGAAAACATAAAGCTCCAAAAAGTATTCGAACCTAAAAAGATAGTATATAAACAGTTTAGAATATTGAGCTACGAGAAACTGATTTACACGGTCACCTAGCATTGTTACTATGGTGAATTAGCGTATGGGAAACTATGATCGGATGAGCGTGTGGATGGAGTTAGGATAAGGGAATGTATAAGGATTTTTGGTGGGGAATCCTCTTGGAAAGTGACCACTTAAAAAACCGAGAGATGGTAGACGGATGAAACTGAATTTGAATCGTGTCCAGTGGGGGGTCTAGACTTTAGCTTCTTCAGTCTTCAGGTTTAGTAAAATGTCGAAACCTGGTCTAATGAGCTTGTTCAGGTTAATGCTTTTCTCTAGTCGCTATAAACTGCTGTGTAACTGACCAGGGGTTCGGCCGAGGCCAGCCCGCTTGCCCGTTCAGAATCCGTAGCTTGTCGTACACAGACTCCGCGGGCGATGGTACGGGCGGCGACTGCGTCTGTTGTTCCTTCTGGGACGCCAGATTGCGTAGCACTCTGTTGATGGAAGACACCTGCAAAACAGAACAGCGCCCTCTGCGGTTTGAAGTTCTCACGACCGTGAAGATGTCGATTGTGGCTTGTGACGCCTTCTGATCTTGCAGGTAGCTACCAACGTTTCGGATGGACGTATTATCTCCAGTTCCTCAGGTCACCCTGAAGTGGAGGCGTTATGTTCCTCCGAAGCGTTGACAACTGACTGCAAAATCGAGTTCCGCTTCTGAACTAATGGCCTGCTCGGAATTAAGAGATTTTTACGGGACTGGAAGGAGCTGTTTACTGAGAAGCTAAGTAATTTGTAGCTCTTGTCCTTTGCATAGTAGTTTCAGAGTAAAATGGGGATTTGAGAGAACTTTGGAAGAAATGCGTGAATATTTTTATCGCAAAGTCTAAAGAGAATATAAGACGTTGGAAGTATATGAAAATATAAAAATAATGCTGAAATTAATCTTAGAAAATATTCTGTCCATACATGAACTGGGATTTACTAGATTAGAACACAGCTACTGTGCTTACATAAAACAAGGGAATTTCTGGAGTAGCGGTTACTTATTTAACTGGCTCCGAAATGTTCAGTAAAATTCATGTAACATTTAAGTTCCCGGATATTTCGAAATTGATGCCTTTTGTACAGGCATAATTTTATAGGCTATAGCTGAGTGCGAAAATATTTAAGCGAAAGCTGCGGCACTAGGTTCGTAACCTGAAGTGTGAAAAATATCAGATTCCCTTTTTTACTGAAACCAACAATTTAATGTAGCTTAGTCTTAAACTAAAGAAGACGTTTTCAGATCCGGATACAACTCAGTCCCCAGGACGCGGATCCATCCACGTCTCATTATTACTTTCCACTCTCGAAGATTCGTCATCTGGCTTATATTTATATTATTTCTTGGCGAGGCAAAGTCGTCTACCCTGGTGTCACGTGGCGCTGCTATGCAGGGTGAACAATACATCCCTCTCTTTTCTCCACCCCCTTCGGCGCATAAGAGCACCCCCGGGGTGCTACTTGCACTATTGGCACTCTATTCATCATGCTTGCATCTTTGAACCGCCCTGCGCCAGACCGCCATCCCCTTACGAACTGCACCTCTTCTTTTCTTTGGAAGCTTTTTATTCTTTTGATTATTATATTTTTTTTTTGCATTGCCTTTCTACCACCGCCACCGTCTTCTTCTGTCATTTATATATCGGAAAGAAATGAATGGTTTATATTATGTGCCTGAAGTCCTTAGTATCATGGAGTGTAAACCGTGAAGGAGGTTTGACAGAAGGCACTAAAATATTGGCTCCTTCAATAAATCGTGAGTCCCTGAGCTCTTTTAGTCGTCATATAGGCGACTCACAATTTGTTCTATTAGACTGCACAATCACGTGTTATGCTGTGCGAAATAAGACGCAATTAGCAGGTTCGTTTAGGCTAGAACTCTCCAGACTTGAATGTGGGAGGTCCTTTGTTCGAATCTTTACCAGACTACCGGCTATCTCGACTGAGGATTTGCATGATTTTACTCAGTCTCTCCTAATGAATGTTAGAAACTAATTAAATGGGCCAGGTATTAGCCGCCCGAATGTTACATATTTTTCTTTCAACCTGTACAGCGGAAACAGCGTCATTAAATTGCCCAAGAGTCAACTAGTCATTGAGATGAAACAATTTCTGTTCCCATCCTTGGAAACTGCATAATCTTTCTTTATCATATCCGTATCAGATCGGAAATATAGCGTGCATATTTAATATTCTCGATGCCTGCTACATGTCACGTCCATCGCATTTGTCGTTGTTTAATCATTCTAGCATTTAACAGCGGAAAGAAGTTCCTCGTTACGTAATTTTACCCGTCTCCCTGTTATTTCCACTTTTTCGTGTCCAAATATTCTCCTTATTACTCTCAGAGAGGCACGAGTAACTATTCCATGGAACAGAGTCCTTCTTGAGAAGCTGATTGCCGCTCAGCTAGTTAAGAAATCCCCCGAAAGTTCATTGCTGTCCGCCACTGAACATATATGTACTGTAGTCCGTAAGAGATTTTTAAAGACTCCTTTCGTGGGTATTTTATCGGTAAAGTTCCGCTAATATTAGGCAGTTTATGTAGTTCTGTAAGAGAGGCGCTGGTGGGCTTGTCGTTAAACATCAGTTCTCAGCACCCGGAGGTCTTCAATGTTGACAAGTCTTGGACCGTTGACGAACAAAGTAGCATGACAATGACGCTGGCCTCTCGTAGCCGTGAGTGACGTATTTTATAGCTCCTTGTAAAGGTCCAAATAGAATTTAGGTTTTGATAGGCTTGTATTTATGACAGTTTTTTTTATCATTCTGAACGTGCGGCCATTTGGGCTAAACACTTCAGTCTGTTGTGTAATCCTACTCCCCTGGACAAGCTTATTATTTTATGTTTGAAGAATAAATTTGCTAAAACATGAAATAAGCTTTGCACAGTTTTGACCTGAACAGTCGAAGGGAAGAGATTACTTGGGAGAGCTAGACGTAGAAGGGAGCATATACCGTGTTACTTTAAAATAGTGCAATATATGAACGTGTAAATGAATTTAACCTTTTCACGGCGATGGGTGGAAAAATATATCTGGCTTTTATGCATGAAGATGCAGGCAGCGTGTTTCTCCGAAACGTCAGCACACAACAAAATATTACACTACGCAACAACGCAGTATACCACCGTCTGTATTTGATTCAACGTGGTCAGGGAGACACCACTTCTTGGCTCTTGTGAACACTGTAATAAAACTACGGTTTCTAAGAAAGGCTGAGAATTTCTTGACCATTGCCTATACTCAAGTATGTTTTTATTATATTTATTTTTTATGTTAGTAACTGCTGTTGGAATTGAACTTTGAACTTATTTTCTGCATTCAAAGGGTTTTAGGTTCATTCTCTGCCACTGTTATTAATATTAAAAATAACAGTAACCGATATCTGTCAGTAAAAGGACAAACTATCGTTGTATCTGTTGCTCTAATTTCGTAGTATGCCCTTTAAACCATACACAGTATTCTATAAATAGAGACCATGAAAAGCAAATGTGTTTGAGGTAGTGCTGTCTGAAGTTCAGGCTTTTTGTTAGACCTTTGCCAGAATTACACGTTAGCTTACATCAAACGCCTTATTTATAGGCTGCATACTGCATGGTTTGAAATAAAAATGGGTGCTTTTGATGAAAACATCAGTTCTGGTTGCTTGGTTTGCAGACAAGTCTGTGCAGTAAAAAGTGTAACCGTATGGTAATGAGGTCAGGGGACCGGCGCGTGACTCCCACCCTCTCAGACACTTGCATTGCTAATCGGTTGCTGGCGCCCCGTGCATCCCAACTTGCTGTGACGCTCTGGGGTCAAGGGGTCATCTAAGTCGGAAAAAGCTTCCCCTTCCCAACTCTTAACCAACGAACTTTGAAGGCGACATTACACTAGGCCAGGACCACAACTGGGATGAAGCGAGATCAGAATCAGTAAAATCTTCTCGGGCAATCAGCCGCGTTAGCTGGTTACTGTAGTAAACCGACGTTTCGGGAGCAAACTCTGTCCCCATCTTCAGGGTTCTGATATGACTGGCTACTTCCGAGGATCCAGTCAGATCAGAACCCTGAAGATGGGGACAGAGTTTGTTCTCGAAACGTCGGTTTACTACGGTAACCAGCAAAAGTGGCTGATTGCCCGAGAAGATTTTATTGATTGCACTCGCCGCGAAAGTCTCAAATCCGAGATCAGAATGTTTGTGCGGTCAGCAGTTGGTGCTGTGAACGACAACTGCAAATCCTACTGCAGTGTTAGTTTGTTTATTTCATATGCTAGATAATCGATTTCAAGTTTGCTTTCCAATAACGGGTTATTAATTTGTATTCTTCATTAAGTATTTCTTGGGTGATCAATCAAGTACATAAGAGTTAGTACGAAGACCTGAAAGAGAAATATTACGTGGCAGATGCAGACTATGGCAGAATAATACTAAAAAGTTCTTAAAATGTGAACTCCGTAATGCATCTTTGGGTTCTATAAAATAATTGGAAATTATTGAGCAAAAGCTTTCCAAGTAGGATTCTTCTCCGTAAAGTTAGTCTGTTGTTTATTTAGACACAGACATTATCAGTTTCAGTGAAAGAACAAAATGCTAATCGGACATCTGATAACTGAAGCAAGTAACGCGGGAAAAATAATTGGAGAACTCCGACTTTGAACGCGGAAAATGATATTCAACGCTTTAAACTTATAAGTGAATCATCCAATCACTCAATTAATAAATCGGTCACGTAATTTATCAGTCACTTTTGCAATTGCTTCCTATTGTCTTTACTATGTTGGTTTGTCAAGAATAAGCAGTGAAGTTGAATCGACTTTTAACCCGTTAAGAACTTGATAAAACAAATATTGAATCAGCCAGTCTCTGCTTCACCCACGAAATTAACCAATCGATAAATACGTCTGTAATTGAACCAAAAAATCCATGAACGATTAATCACTCATTCTACAAATCAAGAAGGAGCGGATATTATAAGCTGTAGTGTGTGTGATGATGGCACAGTTGAAGTCCGTCCAAAACTGATAGTGTAATAAGTCTTGAGTCTCAGATCCCTTGTGCATCTCTGTCCCCTTCAGTTTTCTGTTTCCCTCGACTCCCTCTCTTCTGTCTTCCTCTGATGCATTATGTATCGAGTAGCCCGTGTGTGAAATCGGGGGCCCTCCGCCCGACGTTGCCCCTGCATTTTGCCGGAATTTCGCGCGGATGAGAACACACTCCCGGGGAAAGTCGGAGGATCGGCATGTGGAATACAGGCTACTGATCGAGAAAAGGGATACAAGGAAGGGATAAAAATAAATGAAATGGGAGCGCTTCAAGGGGAGCACAGATTCTGAGACTAGATCACATACACGACATTCAAGTCTTATCGCTCCATATTCTGCACGCTGGAATGATTACGGAAGATAGAATCGTCTTTCTGTCACAATTCCGCGCAACTCTGGTTGTTGTACAAGAGGAATTGAATATTTCGTTAATATTGCCACTACAAGAATTCCGTATTATTTGTTTCCATTATAGACCTGTATTTTGTACGGGTCTATTCAGAATGTTACTACCGTTTCCAAGCCAGCAACTTGAGAGCATGCTTTTTAAACTCTTATAACGATCTAATCCAGGAAGCATGTACCTAGAATCGGATTGCTCGTAACGCGAATGCCAGAAGAGAGTGACAGTCTAGGACCCACTTCTAGCGGTTTTTGTTTACAGTCGTGTCTGTGAGTCGTTTAGAAATGCAGTGCCAGTCTACCAAATGCTCGTTATAGGCCTATTTGGTATTGTCATTTTTTAAAACCTGTGAAAGAAAGTGACACATATTTTAATGACCAGTAACTTATTTTCGAAACTGGAAAAGTATTATATATTTTCTAAAAATAACGGAAGTGGCTTTTATTCCTGCAGTATAGAAGAAACGTAAAGGGCTTGTTGGACGGTTGAAGAACGTAGATAGCAAACCCGTATCTATAGCCGATTCCTACTCAGTTCAGACCGTGAAATCGATTCTCATATTCGCTGTCTGTGTAATGTTTGGCAGGCTACGTACATCCACGGTATCTTTAAAAAATGACGGTTTTCTTCTGGTTACTGATGTGAATAACTAAAATGTATGCAGATGTAAACTGTTGATTTCCAGGCAACTAGAATTTAAATGGCCTGTCTGAATGTACTTACGCGTACATGCAGTCCGCCTCAGTGGCCTGCGAGTAAGATAAACGAGGCAATCTGAGGAGGTAATGGTTCTTTCAAATGAGAGACAAACATGCCTTAAACGCAGTGCAGTTGCTAAAATTTTTGGTCGCCAAATGACCATACCAGCAGCCATACAATCTCTTCGCCTTTGTCATGGAAGAAGACGTGCAGTTTCACACAATTATTAGTGCACTTTCTGAGAATAATGCATTTTATGCAATGTTCGGGGTTATTTTTAAATCCACACCTTGATATAATTAATATTAGCTGCAAGTTTTACCCACCTCAATGTTCTTGATTCAATCACCCTAACAGCAGTGTTTTCAAAAGCTTATTTTTCGAAATCCATTTTAATATTGTTTTCCCATTTGCTTCTGGTCTCCGAAGGGTTTTCATATGCAAGCAACAAAACCTAGATAGGCCCTAATTTAAGCAACCATTGTAGACGGGCAAGCTGTCAGTTACTGCATGTACTTATGAAATGTAGTTGCGAGTGTGGTTGGTAAGTACTTCTGGGCGGAGCAACTAAGAGCCATGGTAATGCAGCACGTGGGAGGGAAATCGAGACAATCTCCGACATTGATTGGAAGCTGTGTGGACCAGTGAAGCGTGTTGGCTCCATAGAATCTACTTTACAATGCCAGTGTCAACCTCTGCTTTTAGCTACAATTGCAGGTCCTTGAATAAACATTTTCATATTTGTAAGCTGCATAGTATTAAATGACGCACAATTACAGCCTTGAATGTTGGAACACATGTTCACGTCTTGCGTGATAACATTCGACAAAGATCACGTAAATTTACTTACAATTTATCAATTATGAATGGATAAATGATACATATTTTCATCATATACCGCTTTCAGAAAATGTACTCTGTCACCTGTTGGTAACTACCTACTCGGAATCGCAATACAGATCGAAGTCTTCCATAAAATCTCTATTTACGGTTTTAATCTGTCCTTATGTCGTTCTTTCACCTATTGACCCCGTCAGGTCTCTGGGATGCTCGCGTCATAAGCTCTAACTTCTCTTCTCTTTCCTCCCCCTCATTTCTCCTTGCCTTTTAACCTGCTGCTGCCGTTGCTTTTGCAGCGTTTAAAACTTCAATTTCAAGCTTCCGCCATACATTAGTCGCTTCCTGCCCCCCCTCCACTTTCTCTTTCTCTCGCCCCAGCCTCTGTTATAAAGAAAAGATGCTTCTGCTTTGCTCAGGGGGAAGAAAGACTCTTGCAGGGTTGTGAAGAGAAGCTTGTAGGGTGGGAGTCTTCTTCTGCCATTATTGGATGGTGCATGTAAATTTCCATGGCAACGTTGATATAAACGCACCCCAACAACAAGGCAAACCACCCCCATCCGTGAGCTAGACAGCAAAGCATCCCATCGCTTCGATTTCATGAAGCTTGGTTGTAAAACATTGCTTATGTTTTTACTTCTGAGCTTCGTAGAATAACGTACAACAGACGGTGGTAGAGATGTTTCAAAGACCAAAATTAACACACAATTAGGCTACTCGTAATACGATACAAGGTTCATGTGTTTTTTGCACGAAGTTCATAGAGTGAAGGCATTTCTTTTATCTCCAAAACTACTTTACAGATTTTTATGAAATTTAGTAGCCACTGGACGCTCCGTATTCATTTTGTAGTAACTCATCTTCCATCTCTCCGTCTTATGTTACATGCTTCGCCCATCTCATTCTCCTTGATTTAACGTCAGTAATAATGTTTGGCGACTAGAACAAATAACTGATCCTCCTGCGGCTTAATCTCTTTTACGTGCAAATATTCTCATCTTCCTGTTCTCAAACACCCTCAGCCTGTGTCTGTTTGAGATTTGAGGTAATTTCAGTGGTGTGGTCTTCTGGGTTGTTACGACGTGAAGTTCTGTATGGGCGTTATAACCCAGAAGACGATAATCGACACTCTGTCCGTATTCTTTCCTCTGGGTGACAGACCAGAGAAGTATAAAACATTAAGTAAAATTACAGCACCTAAATTTTAGTTTGTACGTTTTCCGATAATAGACAGGTGAGAGGTCTGTTTTGGTACCCAGGCAACTATGTAACACACGGTTACAGTAGTACTGTTTCGCTGCGTTAACCGGACTTTATCCACGACGGTGCTTGCACTGTGAACTGCAGCAGATCAGTCCATGCACTAATTAGAAGTAAAAAGAGCTAAGGTACTCACACTGGGGATATTGTCGTTGGTGCAGACTCCTTCCTGTAAGAGCCGGTCCCGTATCTCCCAAGCGAAGATGGATGGGCACTCTCGCTTGTACTGCGAGATCTTGCTCACCACTTCTGCTGTGGCAACTCGAGGTTTCGATCCACCGATGGCTCTCGGCCGAATTGAACCTGTCTCGTAGTACCTGTACCCATAAAAAGAATATTGAAAACATCACGGTTTTCTTCATATGTTTACAAACTATATTTGCTTTCGTTTAGACATTTAAAAGCCATGTAACACGCACTTGAGAGATGAGAAGTAGATACAGAATTTAAATCGAAAAACCTGAGAGGAATAGTCCACTTGGGAGACGTAGGTGTAGATGGGAGGATAATACTAAAACTGATATTAAGAAATTATTATGTGTGTGTGATTGGATTCAACTGCCTTCGGATAGGGATTAGTGACGGTTTATTATGAGTGTGGTAATACAACTTCGTGATCCACAAAATCCGGCAAAATTCTTGGCCAGTTCAACGACTATTAGCTTGTCAAAAAAGATTATAATTTTGTAATTAGTTAGTTTTGCCTGGTATTTGTGTCCTACACAGACCTCACTGTTCCCCGTTTTATCCCAATTTCAATTTTTATTTATATTTGCATAAACCAAAGACTTGATTTCAACTTCAGAGGTTATATAGTATAGAATGAAATGATCTTGGTTTATTTGGAGTACTATTCTGGCATTCGCCAGGTGGAAATGAAGATAATCATGAACACATAAACAATACTAACTTGATCGCTTTTAAATTGTCGTCTCTAAACTTATGAATTGTTAATGCTTCAGCAGAGTGCAGCGTCTAGACATTACATTTGATTAAGGTAGACCCTACAGTATTTTGTTTTCCTAGGCGAAGCATGCGCAAGTCTTCGTGGTTATTGAACCTTTGATGCTCACACCGTAGCCAGTCGGTTTACTGACTTATTAAATTTTATTTAAAGTAAATTTAATACTGTTCTCAGTAATTTTCAATACGATTTTGAAACAGCTACTAGGGAAGTTGCCGAAATGAGAGGGAGGAGTATACAGTAGATCAAGAAATGAATAGTGTCGATAAGTTAGGCTGAAGACAGAAAAAGAAGTGATTAGTAAGTGTCTAATGAAATTGCAGAGCAAAGAGTAGACAGAAATTGTCAGTTTTTTTTACGGAAAACGCCAGATTAAGTTTTGTTCGCCAGGTGAATAGAGGTTTTCGTATGTTTAGCCTTTTTAAAATAGGAGCTGGCATAAATAATTTGGTGCATAAATATGACAGTCTTTAGTTTAGAAATAAGTGCAAGTCTAGATAAATATCGTAATACTACATAAAACTAGAGACATTTGTATGCTGGGAGGGCAACTCAGTCCCTGGACGCAGCTTTCGTTCTTCGTTCAAGTTTCCTCTTTTGGAAGAAGAGAGATGCATTATCTTAAGAACGACAAATATTTTTGCAAGAGAAAAGATACGCCCTCGTATGTTTTCCGAGTGAATTCTACTTGAAGTAAACAAGTGAAGACCAAACAAGCCGAACGGACGGTATGTAACCTCATACCAGAGTGAATACAACTTCAAAAGAATCCAGTAACAGGCCTTTAGACTTAACCCGGATTTTGGACAAGAGCAGCTTCAGTTACGGTTTACAGACGGATGTAATAGGACAACTGAGTGCGTAGGTGCTAATCGACTAATAAACCAGTAACTTTATATGTCTATTATAATAATTACTAGACACGAATGTTGTCCACATGTCTTCATTGACTAAATTTGGACTTTGTCTCATGATTCACTCTTATTTCGTAAAAATATGGTATGTGTTAACATTTTACAGTATTGGCCGTTTTAATGACTGGTATTCTGACGAATGTAAGAGGAATTGCAATTAAATTTACGCTGTCAATTGGCGGTTTGTTCAATCTTGCTTTTGGTATCTGGACTGTAAGTATCTCATTCAGTAAACTGACCAGTTTCTGGCTCGAAAAACGGGATTCCTCCTATTCCTAGCAGGGACAGAGTTTTCTCGTCGCCATTATGCCCAGACCGGTTCTGGGGTCCACCCAGCATCCTGTTCAGTTGGTAGGCCTGCCGGAGTTACCTTTCTCAGTGGAAAAGTGGCCCGAGCGTGAAACTGACCATCCACCTCTACCTTAGATTTCGTTGTGTCTTACGTCCAACCCCCTTCCTCCGTCCTGACGTGTTGCTTAAGCACAGGCACAACTTAGGTTAAATGTTTAACTATACCATATTAACTGAATTTGCTATATAGCTTCAAATGATTAATGGAAGGAAGATAAGCTAGAAGAGGCTGTGGTCCTTTGAAGGTAATATTCTGGAATTTGTATGCAGGACCTAAATAAAACTGCGAAAATCATAGTCAGGACACCCGACTTCATAGGAGATATTTAACGAACACAAAGTTGAGTGTTGAAAACTTTGTTGTAAATACAGTTAGCTTACCCAAGAAACTTACGGAAGAGATTTGCTTAAATAGAATCACCCTAAGTGTTGGATGCTTTTATGCTTGTTATAAATGGATATAGGTCATTTTAGCGTGCAAGTATAGGCCTATGTGTGGATGAGATGTTTTCCAGCTCATCGGACCCGACGAGGAAATTCTAAGGGGGCAAGACTTGGGTGACACGCTTGCAAGTGCCGAACTATGCTGGACAGGAAAGACGAAAGATTGTGAGGAGAAGTTCCTGTTTGGATTTCTGTGACATTTTTGCCCATAGAGGAATTGTTCTTGCAGGAGTCACAAAAGTATGAAAACATTATTACATACTTTGGATTATCATAATAAACTCTGGCTTATAGACCTGTCGATTAAGATGGGAAGGCTGGTCATGAAAATGAATGTGACTGAGTTTTATAATGTTCTTGGATGTGGGAAATTAAGTGCTTTTAAATTATTTAAATAGGCGATTGGTTTTATGCCTTTTAATTTATTGGCCTTTCAGAAACGAAGCCAGAAATAACTCGAACTGTAGAGTACAAAAAACAAGTAGAAGTTATTAAGAGTTCTGTGCAAATTTGAAATAATAACTTCAGGATTTACTTTCATGATGACGCTATAAGGATATTTGTTTTGGTAGGATATCACATACATTCATTCATTACATGACAGACTATTTTGTATGCTGAAGAATACAAAAATGAAGATTGTGTGAACATTTGAGACTGTGTTTTCAGAACGAAACAGAAAATTCAAATTTTAAACGCGTGCCATGTGTTATTTTCACTTGTTGACCAGATGGGGTTATTTTGAAGTGATGACAGCTAGGACAGAGTTGGGAGAAAAGTTCTTTAGTTAAAGAGGAGAATTTGAAGGCTATTCCCACGTTTCAGTGATAGCCGTATCAAATGACATAAACATAACATTATTAATAAGTAGTTTTATACACGACAGCCTGAATACTGATTATTTTTTTCAATGTATTAAGGAAGATACGTTTTAAAGAAAATCTGCAGTGAACTCCACTCAACTTTTTCATACTCAGCTGTGGGAATAAAAAGTAAAAATATTAAATATGTAGAGTCTTACAAGGGTCTCCAAAACATGCTTTTTGTTGAAAATGTAGTTAAAATCTTCGTATTGTTTTTGAATCTATTTTTAGCTGTTCTGTACGCTTTAGCGTAAGCTAAGACATTTTATGGGCCAAATCATATCCGCCTGTCTGTCCGTCTTTTGCGTCTTTCGTTAGTGTTTCAAATGACCTTGAATCATATTGTTGCAAAATTTGCTTGGGTTCACATTCTTGCAACATTGAGCTTGGATCACATTACTACTTGCGAAGATGACTTTGGATCACATTTTTAAAACAATGATTTCGGATCGCATTATTGCAACAATGACATAGGTCCTCATTTTTGCTACAGTGGCCTTGGATACCATTCTTTCCTTTGTTATGCCTCTTTTGTGCATTTGACGTCATTAGCATTGGGTCCCGTAACGATCACCTTTCGAAAGAATACACCATTCAATCTTGTTTTGTTTCGCGATTAGAATATTTATCGTATCTGAGCATCGCCTTAGGGCGGTAAGAGTTTCTTTTCACTGATTGATTCCGATTCTCAGATCTAATTTTTGTCAGATTCTGCTATTAAGTGACCTGCCCCATCAATTCCGACACTAAATGTTATGCTTTTGATTTAGTTTTATTTATCTAATTTGATCGGCACGCTAGGTGATAACCTTACACCTTACACTCAGTATATCGACGTCGTAATCTGTGCCCTGCTCCTCGATGAATTGTTTGAGAATATCCATCGTTCGGTTGGAGCCTGAGGACTGAAAGAGGCTGAGAAATAAAAGGGATGAAGGATGAGGCGGATGAAGTCCAAAGAGCTACCGATAAACATATCCGGCCATATTGAATGGGGGCGGAGTGGATGGGCAGTTAGAGATAAGAACTTTTTCGTTGGAGAGGGAAATATTGCTGCCGCCGGCAAGGGAAGTGCGCCTCTGCAGAGGGACACTTTTAAAAATGGTTCCACTTGCTTGGCCTAGCACAATGGTGAGATATAAAGCATCAGCAGGATCCGTACTGATCAGTTGAGTCGTTCAGAAGTGGCCCGGGGACACGCAACATTACAAGCACAAATATCACAACAAGTGTGCCAGGTTTTTCCTTGTGCCGCGCTACGCTCGGTTCACTATTACGTAATTTAATCTTATAAATTCATGTGGTTCACTGACACTCTCATTTGTCTGTTGCTGAAGTCTATTTTGGCGAGCTGTACATGGGTTACAGGAAAATGGTAGTGAGTTGACTGAATTCGAAGACACATCTTTGAATGCTTTCAGAAACTACATAAAGAATATTATCTATAAACTACTTATAGAAGTACTGTAACTTGTGTTTGCCCGCTAAGCTAAGTGCTAAGAAAGTTATGGCCACTCTTATCACAGGCCTGTTATCACGGTCTCATATTTGTTTTCCTTTATAGTGACGTTTAAAGCACAGGGTCATTGCGTTGATAGGATTCCTACACCACAGACGTACTTTAAAATTCACATCTTTTAAGTCTGTTGGACCTACCTTTATTAATACGCGTTACGTGAATGGAAACAAACTACGTTTATAAATACATGCATTATAAATAGAAAAATGTACAAATACCAAATAATAATCATATACTGAAATTCATCTTTTCTTACTCTGTGATTAGAAATAAGGAATAGTAAACATAGCTGACCGGCAGCAGAATAGGATGATTAATGTTGCGAATTTTTCTTTTTTTCTTTTGTAAAATGTAGACAGAACTTCAGTATTATATTTATAATTTGGGATTGTGGCAAAAACATTTTTTATAATGATTAGAAACACAGTGAAGAAAACTGCGAAGCACTTGAAAAACTCCGATTCATAATTCTAATTGTCATCTTATGAGCCAAGTTCGTGAAGCATCAAGTACTTTTATTTTTTAAATAATTAAGTACAATAGACAGAAACTAGAGACAAAAACATATCTCCTGGGCACACTTTTTAAAATTTGTTGTTAAAAGTGAAAATATTCTGTGATGCATAGGTCTGTGTTTGATTCAAGAAAATGTTGTTTCTTGTTTAAATATAAACTGGGAAGAAGATTTATTTTAATTTCAGAATAGATGTGTTAACAATAAATGACATCTAGATTTCAGCCCAGATATGACAGTTACAAGTATAGCCTTGTCCATGATAGTGAAGAATGCAGTCTATAATGCCAGTATTATCGGATATTATAAACACGTTATTTTAAGCTTATTAACCGTCTGGAATTTTTTGCTTAATTTATTAGTCCTACTATTTTTCGGAGAATGATAGCCTACAGTAAAGAACACGTCTTTTTTGTTAAAACAGTATTTTTTCTGAAAGGTTTCGACATTGAACCCTTACGTTGATCCTCTTTTGTTGCAGTTTTATGACAAGCAATTAGTAATAGAAATGGAGCGATATGATGCAACTTGACTGTACCACCAGCACACAGTCTTCACAGTTTCTTCACCGTGATTCTTAGCTATTGAGGTGTCAAAAGTGAAGGTGCTCTTACCTGCCTAAAATTTTGGAAACACAGCCATTGGATACTTGAAGGATGCGCGAAATGTCGCAGGGCCGCGCTCCCGAATGTGCCAGTTCGACAATTTTCTGTCGCGTGGAATCCGGCAGGGGTCGGCCGCTGACGAATACCCCCCCTAGCTGGTTCACACCGCTGTGCCCTGCGGGGGGTCGAGCCACCAACACAGTAGAACAACTACAGTTAGGGCAGGAGGCAGGGCTCCAGGGGTGCGGGCCGAATCAGCACAGCAGAACAACTACAGTCAGGGTTCCAGAGGGAGCTTTGGGAACAATGGGAATTGCTGTAACCATTTTACTAATGAACTAGGCTTATAAATTTATGTGCAAATGCACTGCAGCATTAGTTACAATTGTCATTAGTGTTTCAAGTATTGTCTGGCCTTTCAGGTTTCCGAAAAAATTATACTTTGATCTCCATAATAGATCTTCATATGCTTGTTTACTGTTCATGTCTTTCACTTATTTATAAGTTAACAGACAGACTTTTTTCTAATCTCGTTTTGCACTGTCTGGGTAGAGAATTTAATCGACCTTGAAGCACAAGCTACTAGCACCCATGCGCAAATTCTTCTAACACGAAAAAAGATCGAAAAAGATCGCGCTATTCTGAGTTCTTTATTTTCTAGCCGTGTTGTCGCGACTCATTTTTCACGACTTCTTTCAAGGAAGAGTAACGTCTCAGAAAAAATTATTCGTCGAAGTGTAAGTCACAGCAAAGAAAGAGAAACTGTTCAAAGTGGAGTGGTTTATTTTAGCAAAGACGTAAAAGGTGCGGGATTGTTAGTGGATTTAGAAGTAAATAATTTTGGGACATGATGGCCAAGCGCATGGAAATGACATATCCACAGTACCAGGCTGCATTTTCTTTAGATTGCCATTCCGGTTTCATAAGTTGTAGATTTGGGATGGGGGATTAGAACGGCCTGACCGGGTTACCTGGTTTTTCGTGGTTTTCGTAATTTTCTTCAGCTACTGCCAGGAAATGCCTTTAAATAGGCAACAATGTCCCTCTTCCGAATATTTATTTTAGCCATCATTCATGATCATTGTGCCATCTGTTTCTCACCAGTCTAGTGTGAGAGAAATGACGGTTGTTATAACGAATATCTTGTCAAATATTCCAAGTGGGCCAACTTTTATATTTACTGATACATCGTTAAATAGTTTATAATTTTTGTGCCAATTTCAACAATAAATAAATACTGTTGTTGAGGTATTTCTTCAAAATACGTTTTCGAAGGAACGTAAACCAAGGATCTGTTAACACGGACACGGACTGTTTGCGATAGTACTGAAGTTAGTTCTTGAAATAACACACTACTCCCTCCTCGCCCACTACTTTGATAACATGATGTCAGTAGTATCTGCAGTTGACATAGCGTCTTTAAATAACCAACCATTAGTGGAATGAAATAAACATCATAGCACTTATATCAAACTAAGGGCGGAGTCCTTCTTGAGAAATTACTACCTGTTCTGCTGGTCAAGAAATTTTCCGCCTTTTATGGAACACAAATGTGCATTACTGCGTTCACAAGAGCCCTTCACTAGTTTGTATCTCGAGCCAGTTTAATCCAGACCACTTCCCATGTTTATTCGAAATCCGTTTCAATATTTGGTTACCGTCCCATCTATTCCTCGGATTTTTCCACCAGCATTTTTCATATTTTTCTTTCGTACTGTATGGCTCTTCTTTGTTCTCATCACTGCAATACATCGAACTCTGAACACAGTTGTAATAAAGATGATTTTAAAAGTGGACTTGCCGTATCCGAACAGAAATGCTTTGTAGCGACGCTGTTTAGGCCCGATCATTGTTTCGCACGTTCTCGTTGTGACGGGTTAAAAGAATTCGGGGGGAGGGGCTCATGAAACCATTTGTGGTGAAGTGAAATCAAAGGGGTATGATTGCCATGGTACCGTCAGGGGTTTTATGGGAACAGTTGGGTCTGAATGAGTCTACGCTGAACAACTAAGGGCCCTGGTGGAGCCAGTGACCATCAGGCTGCACGGCCTACATCCCAGAGATTGAAATTTCACCAACTAAGAATTGATTTGTTGGAGATTTCTGTCTTCCGAGTTGTTGCGCTGTGTAGTATGGTCGTTGTTTACCAACGTTCCTGAGGTCATACTGCCTCCGTCATCAGGGCGATGACGCCCTGATGACGGAGGCAGTATGACCTCAGAAACGTTGGTAAACATCGACCAGAAGACAGAAATCTTCATATTCACCGCTGTGAAAACCTCAAATTTTACAAACTTATATACACTATTTCTTTGTTCCTACCGGTCGTGAATCTACCAGCCATGTCTCGGAACACCTTACCATTTATTATGTCTTTCCATGATAACCCATCTTACTATTAAACGTTTAACTGCAAGATTGATTCATAATGTTCTATAGGCTCAGAGACAGTCTTCTGGATTTAACAAAAAGGCCCTTTTCTTGCTTCAGTTTTAGGTTTTACGAACCACTCTAACACATACCGATTGCTCATTTAATATTATTGAACTGGACGGTTTGTTAGTAACGAATACAGTTTAGGCATAATTTGTCAGAAATGTCGCTACACCCCAAAAAGATGTGTTTTTTGTACTGAAATGACGTCGAGCCAATAATCGCAGAAGTGGCCGAACCACTTGTAGCAGCCACTGCTCTATCTGTCTTCGTCTGTCCTCTCTTCCATGACAAACCAATTCGTTCCCGTCTCGTCCCAGAATGTACGAGTCAAATAGGGGGTGAGAGAAGGAAGTTTTACAAAGGACCTTGTTTACACAAGCAATATACCATTGCCTGAAACACCTTTTCTGTCTTAGCTCGGTTCTACTTGCAGATTAGTAGTCATAGTAATCTAATGCATTTGTAGAAAATGTATGTGTAAAATGTCCCGGTCAGATTTACATTAAATGCTACAAATTTAAATAAATTTAATTTGACTAAGTATTCAATATTATCTACACGTACACCTGTGTCATTGTATTTATTTCTATCTGCCATTTAGTGGATCATAGAAATTGGTTTATGTAGGAATAATGTGTATAGAATATCCGGATTGTATTGCGCTCGGGCAAATCTGAAGCAACGATCGATATACAGAGTGTCCCATAAGTGTAGATTCACAGACAATATATGTATTATTTTTGTTCCGATTCTGAGCTATGGAAGTGAGTAGAACGTGTGGCAGTAATTCTATGTGTGTGGGTTTCATTAAGCTGAAAGTTACGAAATATGGTTGACATATGGAGTAAATTTTGTAACAGCTGCCTGCGGTTTAGACATGTGAGAACCTCTTTAGAACTACCTAAACACTTTACTTATTTCAATCCACTTCTGCCTGTCACGTACTAAGTCATAGCTGTCGAGTAGATATGGCGAAACTGCGCACGGAAATACATTTGCATTAAAATAAGGCAAATATCAAAGAAACAAAAAATTCTGAAGCAGTGCAGTTATACAATTATAAGTCCTGGGTTTATAATTCTGACTGTTAAGAATTGTCATAATCTGACAAGGTAGGAAACATTGGATGCTTAAAATTTCACTCTGTTAGCTTCGTTCGTAATGTTTGGTTGTTACTGAGGATGGAATGCTACCACGATGAAAAGGATTGTGAGGGATGCACATGGGAGTTGTTAGTGATCAACTGTAGTTCTTCCGTGCACGATAGGAGGATCAGAGCGGTGTGAGAATCGAGCTAAGAGCTGGATCTCGTCAGCAACACGTGACCCCGCTAGGATAAGAGGTGACCGAGGACACCGACGTTACAATTGGAACAGCGGTCGTTAGGAAACTCCACCTCGTCATTTGGTTTAAACTCAGTTTATATAAATTTGTGCTTACTATTTTGTATTTCGTGTTTCCGGCTGGTATTACTCTGTGTTTATATTGTTTCAAGAAAAGAAGGTGAGTTAACTTAGGTACAATTTTATTGTAAACAATTTTTATATATTGCTAATATTTCATATTCCGTAATAAACAGTTTTCTGTTTGTAGCACTTGATCATGCTCATTACTAAGAAACAGATTACGTTTCTCACACAAGGCCCAGTGCGGAGTATTAACAACATTACGTAATCATTTCATTTGTGTACACAACATGTCAAATATATTAATGGGTCTGTAATGGTCCCCTGAAGACAGAATAAGCGAGTCTAAAGAAGGCTGTATAGTATTATAGTTTTATAGTCTTTTACACATTGTAATATGTACAAATTATACGTAATTAAATAACTGTTAAGCGTGTTTAATGACATTACATAGGTATGCCAACCAATTAGTGATATAACTGAGTGAAATAGACGATATTTATATACATTTAACAACGACTTTACGAGAGCTTTATCAAGAAGATGAACCAAGCGTTGTTTTCTAGTGAATGTAGGAAAATATTAGCGTCCGTTTCTTAAATATATTGTAATTGTGATATATATGAAGTTCGGAATTTGCAGAACTTGGTTCTTGTTACATTATGATAGTTTTAGCTTTAAGAAGTAACGTTATTATTACAGTTTTCAGTAGGTGTTATGCAGTTTTTAGAAATTGTCTGTATTAAAAAATGTTTTGAAATGAAAGCTTGTTAAGGTGAAGCCATGAAGTTGGCTTGGTTAGGCCCGTAATAGAAAATGAGTAGTTAAGGAATGTGTTATTATAACCCGAAATAAAGTGAACCAAAAGAGTCAGCCAACCGTAAACAAGAAAATAAATTGGTTTGCATTGTAGTTAACTGAAACACGGAACATACAATCAAGATACAATGTTTTAATATGACATCTTTGCCGCTTGTGGCTTGGTTTGTAACCATTTAGATATTAATGTTGTTAAACATGTTTTCCCTAGGATTTTTTTTATTTTAAAAGAAAACTTATCCATTAAACACCTTCATACCATAAAAACTTCAAAATAACATTACGTTACTTGAGTTAGATACGATTGTCAACAGACAGTGAATCTGTGTTGATCGTATTTTGTGAAGGAATAAAAAGCATAAGAGTACTTTTGCATTGTAGCGTTCCTTAGGCCCTATTTGAGAAAATGAAAAGACGAAATGGACTGTGTATAGTACCTTTGACGTAATGAATTAAATATGAGTTGACTGTAACTTACTTCTTCCTTTTCACTTAGTAAATCTCGTGAGATATA